AAATTGACAGATTATAGTACTTAATTCATCTTTTATGCAATAGACATTAAACGGAGGTGCAAAGTTTTCTTTTCTTTTCAGTGCAATCATCGTTTTCCCATCTCTTCCAAAAGTTCCTTGTCCTAGGTGGGAAGGAGAGGTTTGATCAGTAAATGGTTGTTAAGAAACAAAGACTTCTTGCAAGCATTGTATTAGACAGCAGAACTAAAAAGATGAATAAGATATTGTGTTTACCCCAGAAAGCTCATAATAGAATGAGGGAAGATAACAGTAAGAGTTACAGTATAATGTTGTAGTACTAGGATGGAAGTGTACATAAAGGTTTGGAAGCAGAGAGAAGGGAGTGACATCTCTGGGGATGGAAGATGGTTGATACAAACTCCAGTGAGTTCACAGTAATTAATAACTCAGAGATTGAACTATGTGTAGCCTGCTGGACTTAGAAGTTCTAGTAGGAGTATCTCCTGGTGTCAGTAGACTAGAATATAATTTTCTGGATGGGGAATAATTTTTAAATAAACTATTACAAAGCCTAAACAGATACAATGAAAGCAAGAAGGAATCATAAAGAACATCAGAAAGTTCTAGGGCAATTAGGAGGTTGTGGAGATAAAGTAATTTTTTCATATTGGTTATTGATACATAATAATTGTAGATATATATAAGGTACAATGTGATGTTTCTGGTTACCAGAGACTGAAGAAATAGGGAGAATATTGGGTAATAGATAGAATGAGTTCTGTACTTAGGAAAGAGAAAGAAGTTTGAGTAATCTATTTCATGGTAGAGTGAGTACAGCTAACAATAATGCATTTATAGTTCAGATACAGGAAGGAAGGACTTTGAATGCTTTCACAACAAAGAACAATAAATGTTTATGGTGGTGGATATGGTAATTACCACGATTTGATCACTATAAAATGTATACATGTATGATGACAGTCATTTTGGTACATTGAGAAGTCACGGGTAATGCATTAACTTAGCCAATGCTGGCTTGATTGCCTCTATTACCTATTTCCTTTGAGACGATCTGTGTGATATGTCTTTAAATGTGAAATTTCAGAGAATAGAGACACATCTTAACCTGATCTTGCTTCGAAAGGGATCTTATGAGTGTGTTTTAATGTTAAGATCAAGAAACAGTATGAAAAATAATCTAAGTACGGCAGGTGGCAAATTATTGTTAATAAACTGGCTGCCTTTTTGAGTGCTGGCTCACTGTCATATGTCTCTTCTGCACTCATCATGATGCTCATGTAGGTTGTATTACATTAAATTCATCAAACATTTATTGGAGGCCCGTTGTGCACAGGCACATAGTCTGTGGGATACAAAATTGATCTGGAAAACTGACTGCAAGAAGAAAGTGTCTTGGTTTCATTCAGACTTTCAGTATTCAGAGTCAACTCATGGTGTGATAATTCATATACCCAGAACAACAGAGAAAAATACAGATTTCTGACTATTATATGTAGCTACTCGAAATACATTATTATCTTAACAGCTGGCACAAGACTCCCTCTTAAGGAGGAAATTGTCTGTTTAGGGAAATACCTTGTTAAGATGTTTGAACAAAAAGTGAGACATTAAAATGATGATGGTTTAGTGAGGGATAGAACAACAAAGGACATGAAAAGCTTTTCATTCGATGTGAAGAGAATGTTATTGGAATGAGGCCAAAAAGAGGCAGAATGTGAGATTGTCCTAGGATGGTTCACAACGAAAATGTCTAATTTACTTTTTATTTAATAGTACTTTAGCTTCTAGGGTACATGTGCAGATCATGCAGGATTGTTGTATAGGTACATACATGGCAAGGTGGTTTGCTGCCTCCATCCCCCCCATCACCTATATCTGGCATTAATCCCCATGTTATCCCTCCCAACCCCCTGCTGTCCCTCCCTTAGCCCCCCACAATGGACCCCAGTATGTTATGCTCCTCTCTCTGTGTTCATGTGTTCTCATTGTTCAACACTTGCCTACAAGTGAGAACATCGGGTATTTGGTTTTCTGTTCTTGTGTCAGTTTCCTGAGAATGATGGTCTCCAGGTTCATCCATGTCCCTAAAAAGGATACGAACTCATTGTTTTTTATGGGCTGCGTAGTATTCCATGGTGTATATGTGCCACATTTTCTTTGTCCAGTATATCATTGATGAGCATTTGGGTTGGTTCCAGGTCTTTGCTATTGTAAACAGTGCTGCAGTGAACATATGTGTGCAAGTGTCTTTATAATTGAATGATTTATAATCCTTTGGGTATATACCCAGTAATGGGATTGCTGGGTCGGTCAAATGGAATTTCTATTTCTAGATCCTTGAGGAATCACCACAATGGTTGAACTAATTTACACACCCACCAGAAGTGTAAAAGTGTTCCTTTTACTCCACATCCTCTCCAGCATCTGTTGTCTCTGGATTTTTTTTTTAATGATCACCATTCTAACTGTCGTGAGATGGTATCTCAATGTGGTTTTGATTTGCATTTCTCTAATGACCAGTGATGATGAACATTTTTTCATATGTTTGTTGGCATCATATATGTCTTCTTTTGAAAAGTGTCTGTTCATATTTTTTGCCCACTTTTGAATGGGTTTGTTTGTTTGTTTTTTTCTTGTAAATCTGCTTTAGTTCTTTGTAGATTCTGCATATTAGGCCTTTGTCAGATGAATATATTGCAAAAATTTTTTTCCTATTCTGTTGATTGCCAGTTCACTCTAATGATTGTTTCTTTTTCTGTGCAGAAACTCTTAAGTTTAATTAGATCCCGTTTGTCTATTTTGGCTTTTGTTGCCAATGCTTTTGGTGTTTTAGCCATGAAGTCTTTGCTTATGCCTATGTCCTGAATGGTTTTACCTATGTTTTCTTCTAGGATTTTTATGGTGTTAGGTCTTATGTTTAAATCTTTAATCCATCTGGAGTTAATTTTAGAGTGGGTTGTAAGGAAGGGGTCCAGTTTCAGCTTTCTACAGATGGCTCACCAGTTTTCCCAACACCATTTATTAAGCAGGGAATTCTTTCCCCATTGCTTGTTTTTGTCGTGTTTGTCTAAGATCAGATGGTTATAGTTGTGTGATGTTTTTTCCGAGGAGACCTCTGTTTTGTTCCATTGGTCCGTATTTCTGTTTTGGTACCAATACCATGTTGCTTTGCTTATGGTAGCCTTGTAGTATAATTTGAAGTCAGGTAGCATGATGCCTCCAGCTTTGTTCTTTTTGCTTAGGATTGCCTTGACTATGTGGGCTCTCTTTTGGTTCCATGTGAAGTTTAAAGTGATTTTTTTTTCCCAGTTCTGTGAAGAACATCAATGGTAGCTTGATGGGGATAGTGTTGAATCGATAAATTACTTTAGGCAGTATGGTCATTTTCACAATAGTGATTCTCCCTAACTATGAGCATGGAATGTTTTTCCATCCATTTGTGTCCTCTCTTATTTCCTTGAGCAGTGGTTTGTAGTTCTCCTAGAAGAGGTCCTTTGTGTCTTTTGTTAGTTATATTCCTAGGTATTTAATTCTGTTGTAGCAATTGTGAATGGGAGTTCACTCATGAATTCGTTTTCTCTTTGTCTGTTACTGGTGTATAGGAATGCTTGTGATTTCTGCACATTGATTTTGTATCCAGAGACTTTGCTAAAGTTGCTTATCAGCCTAAGGAGATTTTGGGCTGAGACAATGGGGTCTTCTAAATATACAATCATGTTATCTGCAAAGAGAGACAATTTGACTTCCTCCTTTCCTAATTGAATACGCTTTATTTCTTTTTCTTGCCTGATTGCTCTGGCTAGAACTTCCAATACTATTTTGAATATAAATGGCAAGAGAAGGCATGTTTTCTGGTGCCAGTTTTCAAAGGGAATGTTTCCACTTTTTGCCCATTCAGTGTGATATTGGCTGTGGGTTTGTCATAAATAGCTTTTATTATTTTGAGATACATTCCATCAATACCTAGTTTATGAGAGTTTTTAGCATAAAAGGCTGTTGAATTTTGTCGAAGGCCTTCCCTGCATCTATTGAGATCATCATGTGCCTTTTGTCTTTGGTTCTGTTTATGTGATAGATTACATTTATAGATTTGCATATGTTGAACCAGCCTTGCATCCCCAGGATGGAGCCTACCTGATTGTGATGGATAAGCTTTTTGATGTGCTGTTGCATTCAGTTTGCCAGTATTTTATTGAGGATTTTTGCATCTATGTTCATCATGGATATTGGCCTAAAATTTTCTTTTTTAGTTGAGTTGCTACCTGGTTTTGGTATCAGGCCTCAGAATCATGACAGGAGGTGAAAGGTACTTTTTATACAGCAGCAGCAAGAGAAAATGAGGAAGAAGCAAAGTGAAAAACCCTGATAATCGTATTAGATCTCAGGAGAATTACTCACCATCATGAGAATAGCATGGGAAAACTAGCCCCCATGATTCAATTACCTCCCCCTGGGTCCCTCTGATAACATCTGGGAATTCTGAGAGATAAAGTTTGAGTTGCAATTTGGGTGGGGATGCAGCCAAACCATATCGGGAAGAGCCTGGTGGGATGTGATTGAATCATGAGGGTGAATTTCCCCTTTGCTGTTCTCATGACAGAGTTCTCAAGAGATCTGGTTGTTTCAAAGTTGGTAGCATGCTCCCCTTCTGTCATTCTTTCTTGCTGGCTACGTGAATATGTGCCTGCTTTCCCTTTGCTTCCCACTATGGTTGTAAGTTTCCCGAGGCCTCCCCAGAAGCAGAAGCCTGTACAGCCCACAGAACCTTGAGCACAAATAAACCTCTTTTTCTTATAGATGACCTGGCCTCAGATAGTTCTTTATAGTATTGTGAGAATTGACTAATGCAGCACTTGATGGATATTTGTTGAATGAAGGAATCTTCAAACTGCCTGGATTACATAAGCTCACACTACTGTTGTTCTTTGAAATTTTACTGTACTTTTTGTCAATACCTTACAGTTTTGTCTTTTATTGGACTATATTTCTCTTCAAGTGTATCAGCAATTTTAAAAGTAATTTTGTAGTAAAAAATAAGGTAGATATTTTCATCTTTATTAATTAGAAAATGCTTCATTTACCCTCTCTCTCTCTTAACCACTCCTTATGTCTATCTTAACATCAGCATGTCAAATTCTGTTCCCGTTAAAATAGTGAGAGGGCTAGTAAAAATTTATATAAATAAATAGGGATGTCATCCTAAAGAGAATCGGTAGGTGAGGTGGGGTGGTTATGGGACTTATATGTGAGATGTCTGCTCCCATGTCAAGACAGTACAATTCATACATTTTTTTCCTTTCCCTTTTTGTAGAATATGAGAAGTTTCTTGGTAGAAACATCCAAGGACCCTGCACATGAGTCAGATCCACATAGGAATGGTATAGTTCACCCTTAGCCATTTTGTCTTGGAAGTGAAGGCTCATATTTGAGAATTTGCATGGGCATTTTTCTCCAAATGTTGAACATTGTCCTGTTGATGATTAATATTTTTGTATGAAGTTTGATCCCCCATTTTTTGACACTCAGATACTGTTTATTAAACCTATACTTTTGCCTCTCCTCAGCATTATTTGCTCTTTCAGATCTCCCTTGGGGATAGGATTGTCGAATAAAATACAGGGCTCTCTGAACTTCAGACACACAATGAACAATTGTTTTTTAGTGGAAATATATCTTGTAGAATTTGGAACATACTTACATTAAAATTATTTATTGTGTATCTAAAATTCAGATTTAACTGAGCCAATTAAAAACACCTTGTGATTTTATTTGTTAAATTTGGCAACCCTACTTAGGGAGAAAAGTTGTTTTGGACTGAAATGTTGAAATTCATGTTTTAGGCCATCTGTAGGTTATATGACAATATAAACTATTTCATGCTGAGAAAAAAGCATGGGACCACAGCAGTGTATCACCCTGGCAAGACCTGAACTGTTTTCCAAGCATTTTTCTTGTAAAAACACGTGCCAAAGTAATTTCCTAGATTGGGATAATAAATTTCAGATCTTTTAATACCATGTACTGTAATTAGCTGGATAATAATCTGTAATTATTCAGGGAAAGTGAACCCATGTATAAATTATTAGAGTTATAAACTATGCTCTTTTAATGGAGGAAGTTTTGGCCTTTTCTAATCAACTGTGGCATTCAGAGAGCCCTCTGATGAGTATTTAGCCCTCTCTGTCAGGCCGTCAGCTTCCTGTCCCTCCATTCTTCTTGGCACCTCTCACGTTTTTTGGAAAGGCCTGGCAGGCAATGCTGGATCTGCCAAGTTAGTAGATGGCACAGAGCCCAGAGCAGGTATACAGAAAGCTGTGTGTGTTCTTTGAAGAAGGTCTGGTAGACACTTATACAATATTTAGGGATATAGATGCCCACAGACAGTGTGGCCTGGATACTGAGAACCTGTCAGGTGGAAAATAGAGGAAGTTGTATATGAAGGGTCATTTGGCACCAATCACCTCCCAAGGATATCTCCAGTGGGATATACCTTCTACACATAGCACCTGCATCCGTCCACAGAAATTGTCAGAACTATGAAGGTAGAAAAGTTTATCATTACATCTCCCCTTGTTCTTTGTCCCTGAGTCTTCTTATCCTATCATGACCCCTGTCTGCTTCATTGCCAATAGCTTGCTCACTTATCAGTCTCCAGAGAAACTGCATTTTAAATTCTGGGCTACATGTACAAGATATGCAGGTTTGTTGCATAGGTAAATGTGTGCCATGGTGGTTTGCTGCACCTATCAGCCCATCACCTAGATACTGAGCTCAGCATGCATTATCTACTTTTCCTAATGCTCCCTTTCTCCCAACCCCACCTTTCAACAGGCCCCGGTGTGTGTTGTTTTTCTCCCAGTGTCCATGTGTTCTTATTGTCCAGCTCTCACTTATAAGTGAGGACATGTGGTGTTTTGTTTTCAAAGAAACTGTAGAAGTCTGGAAAGAATTTTTTGTGCCTTTATCTAAGAAGCACATCTCCAATAGTGAAATTTCAAATACTGTGAAGACTGTTGGGAAGACATTCTGGGAAGCGGGGATTTTCTGGTGTTCCTTGATTCATGGCACATGGAAAAACTGGTATAAGGCAAGTCATATCTGGATCTTGATGTTGAAAATCTAAAGAAAATTTGGGGAGGGCTTAATGTAGCGACAACTTTTCCCCACATTTTGCTCCTGAGCTACCATCAGGAGAATTCTTGATCCTCTGACTGAGGGGTCAGAAACCCAGGAATCTGAAAATCTTTCAGATCTTCTCCGAGTCTAATAGACTTTGCATGTTCATTGTTGAAGGATCCCAAGAGTCTGCCTTATGCATTCAACATGAGAGGAAAAACTCATCACAACAATTCTTATATTTACTGAGTGCCAAGTATGTGTAAGGTAACTTGGCTATTTAAAAAAAAATATTCATCATATCCCTAAAACAAATCAGTGGACTTGTTTAGATATTAGCGACTGAGGCTTCTTGAGATAAATGATTTGCCCAAATTAGTGACTGATGGAGCCAGAATTTGAATCCAGATGTGTCAACATCTATTATGTGGACTCTCATCACTACACTCTTCTGTTAACAGTAGCCCTGGGAGTGATACCTGGTGAAGAACTGTAACATAGGAGGAAACCGATTATATTGTCGAAATTCTCATGTTTCAAAAGTTAAGAATCTGAGGCCAGGGCTTCTAAATGACTTGTATAATGTCCCTCAAGTGGATAGGGGCAGAGTTGGAATCAGAGGCCATATTTCATAATAGTACTTCTTCCACCAACCGTTCCTAACCCTGTGCTGTGTGTTTCAGTCACAGATAGGTTTTGGTTCAGATTGGCTAATTGTCAGTCCTGATAAAGAGCCCTTCCATCAGCACAGCTGTCTGTGTAGCTTCTCAAGGGCTCAGGAATCAGGGTTGCCTCATTTTCTTTTTGCCTCTCCCAGGTCCATACCAGGAACAATTAGTAATTTGGTACGTTTGTTGTTGTTGATGATGATGATGATGATGATGATGGTGATGGTGATGATGCCACCTTTTGGAAGCTTTGGATGAAAGAGACATAATTGCATCCTTTAGGTAATACATACATAAAATAAAGCATACACAGAAAAAAACCCTTAGTTCCTAATACCTGATGGATCATTTAATTGGATAGAAATCAAATCCATTTTGAGGACCACATTTTTGATATTTGTTTATTTTTCCTACTTGTAGCCTGATTTATCTTAGGCCCTGGGTTTATGATGATACATACTGACTGGTGATATTTTTAACAAGTATCATGTTAACTACACCCCACAGCTTTTAGGATGAGCAAAAAACCCTTTTTCTTTTAGGTCTTTATCAGATACTGCTGGTTACAACTGACAGTCCCATTCAGCATTTAAAAACTAATAGAAATATTGAAATAAGATGCATTTTTACTGATTGATGTCCATGAATAGTTACTGTCTTTCTGCTACAGTTTGTACATTGAGTAGGACATAGGGATATATAAAATGCAGTCCATTCTGGCTAGATATTTATAATATAATTGGCAAACATGTCTGAAAGTTTATACAATAAAATGAGACCATATAAGTCATAACTGAGTGGTCTAATGATAAGATGAGAGGAGGTCATCTTGATCTGATGTGAGCAGCAGAGACTTCCTGACATAGACAGAATAGTGGCTGGAGCTGAAGTTCCTTTAGGATATTAAAGTGATAATGAGTCAGCCAATGTGCTTGCTGTACTTCGAGGGACAAGTGTGGGATCCAAAATGGCCTTGGTAAGTTGTGGCTGAGTGGTTAAGGCAACGAGCTAGAAATTCATTGGTGTCTCCCTGTGCAGCGTTGAATCCTGCTAAATATGAGATGTTTTCCTTTTCAATGAGTTTATTTGGCTCATTGACATATCAGTTTGACAACCTAAAATTACCCAGAAAGGAGCTCCGTAACAGTTTTCTACAACAATGGTGCAGACTTCTTGACTAAGCTGGTCCTGCTCCAGCAGTCACTCAAATCTCTACTGCCAAAATGCCCTTGGTAAGTTGGAGAAAAGGTCTAGCACTGACGAAGCAAGTTCAAGAAGGCAGTACAGACAGAAACGTGTGGTTCATTGATCCTTTGAAGAAATTTTTCTCAAGGACCTACTCTGAGTATAGGACACAGCGGTGAGTAGAAGCAGATATAACCTGATTGAGATGTTGGGTGGAGGACATGCCTTTTGGGTTCTGTGCTTGTCTGAGTCTATTTAGATTTCAGATAATGAACTTTCCTTTCCGAGAGACAGAAAAATGTGGTTGGTGTTTTTGGATGCGGAAAGGGCAAAGGATCAGAGTGAGTGGAGCATCTGACAATAAATCACAGTGTGGCACTGCATTCTTATTATTGCTGTTGTCTAATACTGGCTTTGCATAAAAGGTGTCTCACAGGTTAAGGTAATGTGGTTACCTTCAGAATATGAAGGTAAATAATTTTTGTCATTCTGAGTCCAGGAATTTTGTTTTTCTGTGGACTAAGACCATAGAAAAGAAAATGAAAGCTCCAGGGTCTGCTTTTTCCTATCCTTGTCTTAGGCCACTTTTCCTCCACTTTTAGCCTCCTCCTCATCCATGCCTTCTCTAAGAAATAAATGGAAAAAGAGACACCTGTAGGGTGCCCTCCATTAAAAGGCCTGTACCCATTCAGATTCTCCACACTTTGTGTTCTGCTGCCATTTCAAGCTGTCACTGTTCTTTCCTGCATCTGCGCAGCACAGAATCCTCAGTATTAGTGCCTTCCTGACTTCTAGCCAGAGAGCTGGTCTATTGTAATAGTAACTGCCATATTTATGCATAAGGGTTGAAGCTGGAACCCATTGTCTATGCAGACAGGGGAACTCACAGAAAAATTGCTGTGGGAAGTGATTGTTTGCAATTTGGTTAAAAAAAAAGCTTTGCTGACTTGTGTGCACTGTAAGATAATTTAGCTCTGAAGTACAAGCAATAAGAACTGAGTCCGTTCTGAGGACCCTCATAAGTGAAAACCACAGCCACAGTGGCTGAGCTGACTGAGTTCAGAAAATGCCACGGGGAGCAGTTTTTAACCTCTGAGAAGCTGTTACATAAGCCTTGTGAATGTGCTGTTTTCATTTTTCCTCTATAGGTGCACACAGCCCATCCATCCCTTCTCCTGTGCAGCTTAGGGTTGAAAGGGATTCTGCCACTCAGCCCACTCCTCTCCTGCTTTTATGGCTAGTGCATTTCAGGTGTTGGGACATGTATTTGATCAAACTCATAATAAAGGATGTAAGTCGCTAGGAGGCTAAAACAAGAATCTCTCTCTAGAGAGATTTCTAAGTATTTCTACTTCTAAGTATTTTTTTCCTTTGATAAATACAGTATTTGTTATGGATTATACTTAAGTCTTTTAATAAGATATTTTGATCTTTAAAGAGTATCTGTCACCTTTCTCAGAGTTTATGCCCTGTAGATGGAGAATTAAGGGACATAAGTTCTAATGTCAGCTTTGTCATTAATGACGTTTGTGATCTTGGGCAAGCCTCTTGGTGATGGGATGGGAGTCGCTTTCCTCATCTGTGTGCATCCTTGGCTGCCAGGACCCCCGACTAACCTGTGTTAGGCTCAGCCAAGGACCACTCAAACCTTGAGCCTGAGCACAGGTTGGCCTGGGGTCCTGGCTGTCAAGCCTGTCTTCCTTTGGGTCTACTTTCATGAAGTGACATTCATGAGAACCTTTCCCTCCACTTTTCAGGCAAGAGAGAAAGGACATTTCTGTAAAGGCACAAGGTAAGGGACATAAGAAAATCTTAAGATAGTAAAATGGTAGATAACTTGGATCAATTTTGAACCCTTATAGCAAGAGAATTAGAATAAGATCAATTTTGAGCCCCAGTAGCAAGAGAAGTTAGAGTCAGAAGCTGAAGAAATAGTTTCTGTGACAATCTGAGTGAGTCTGTGAGCAAGGGACAATATGCTTTAGGGCTCAGTTGGCACAGAATGGCGCAGAAGTGGAAAGAGGGCTCTTGGCTTTCATCAGTTACATGAAGCAGCTCAGAAGTGAAAAGGATTCAAATTGAAGCCTTTTTCTAGGTTTAGTGGGGTCGAGCAGTCTTTAAAGAAGGTGCCAAGAAAGGAAATTCTGAGAGGTTGATTTTGAGTTCCGTGTTTTGGGTACTGAGAAGTCAAAACGACAACTCTATCACCCCTGGCTAGTTTCCGTGGCCGCCAGGTATCAAGCCTTGGCGCACCATCAGAGAAATACATTTTTATAGTGAAGAAAATGGTCAGGAAATTTGATGAGCCTCCTGTACGTCAGAAAGCACAGGGTTTCTTGGAGTTCTCTTTTGTTGTCTTAAAAAAGGAAACCTTTAAACTTTGGCTGAAACATGCTCCCCTGGGAAGCGTGCTTTGGAACGACATACAGTAGGGATGCTGTGAGACAGTTTACGTGGCTTTTTGCTGGAATCTGTCCGTGTGCTCTGGCAGACAATGCTGGTAATGTTGTGATGGAGAGCGTGGGTACACTTAGCAGTTATTCAGAAACTTGGTAAACTGTAGACTGCAAGTTCAGAGTCTTAGTCCTGACACAATTATAGGGGAATGATCTGTGGCTACCTGTGTGTGCTGTTCTTACAGAAAGCCACAGAACCATAACTTTTCCTTAGTACCTACTTAGAGGACATTTCAGTGGACCTAGTGAGTGGGGATGGATGGTGAGGGGTGGGAGGCCAAGGAGATGGGACTCGTGCTTCAGGCAGAGCCGTTCTGCTTTGCACATTGGGTCACTACCTATGACTTTGTTTAAACAAAGCATGCCTTGCCTAAATCACAGCCACTGTGATAGAGGCTATGATTAGAAGGAGGTAGGTAGTTCACAAGAGCCTCTAAAACTCATTTCTAGGAAAGATTTCATGCAGGCTCAGGCTGCAGTGACAACAGGAATAGCCTTCTGTTCCCTAGGCTTCATCGGCATAACGTGGAAAAAAACAAAAAGAAGAACTCCAAACCATTTGGAACTGTCACTAAGCCCTTGCCAGGGGCCAGGAGACAGTACAATTGACTGACTTCACATTTCAGAGTCTATTGTCCAGGTAGACTGCAAATGCCGCCAAGCTTGGAGGGGGCATCATCCAACCCTAAAGTGTGAGTGTTTGTGAAACAAGGGCCAGAGCCTTTCTGAAGCAGAAAATCCACCATTTCATTGTTGGCAGAGGATGACCATTTCCTGGAAGACTGCAAGTTCAGAGGGCCTGTAATCAGCGGTTAAGAAACAAATTCTGCTTGGAGCAGAGGAACTATACATCCCCCTCCTCCTTTCTATTCTGCCTTATCCTAATTCTCCAAAAGAAAGGTTCAAGTAAGAGAGAATATTTCCTAGTTGCATCTTACATTTAAGGACTAAACCTCTTGAAAAAGAGGCATCAAAGGTAACTCCTTTCTCAAAGTTGCTGAAGTCCGGAGCCTTGGAAGCCTCCTGGCCCTTCCCCTCTCACATTCATCCATCAGCTACGTTTATTGAGTCTTTCCTCAATATGAATTTAGAATTCCACTATCCTCACTACTTCTCTAATACTCTGATCAGTCTCCTTTTCTCGAATTTAAATTCCTGCAGTGGTTTCCTCACGGGTATTCCCACTTCCACAGTCTCTTCTCAGTAGAGAAGCCAGAGTAATTTTATTACAGTGGAAGAAATTCAGTTGTCATGCTTTCCCGATTAAAACTGGCGACACCCCATTTCACTCTCAGCAGAAGCCAATATCTCTATAACGGCTTGTGGGACCCCTCTACGTGATCTGGTCATTATTCCTCTACACTTGTCTCCTACTCTCTACATTTCTCACTGGGCTCCAGCCATACTGGCTTTCTCAATGTTCTGTGAACATTCTGGATCACTCCTGTCTTAGGATCTTTGCATTATCTGCTCCTTCTGCTTGAAATGCTCTTCCCACAGGTTGTACTCTGGACACTAGAATGTTAACTTTTTCATCTTTAAGCTTCCCTTTGCAGTGAGGTCTTTACTATTTGATTCAAAATTGTACCTACCCCCTGCTTACATGCTTGCCACTGCTTTTACTTGGTTCTACCTTTTCACCCCAAAGCCCTGGTCACTTTCTAGCATTCTATACAGATAATTTGTTTATTATATTTATTTTGTGTGTTTCCCTAGCAGAATAAAAACTCTGTTAGAGCAGAGATCTTGTCTGTTTTCTTCACTACTATGTTCAAAGTGTCTAAATCACGCCTTACACATATTAGGTGCTCAGTAAATGTTTAGTAAATGAGTCAATGAGAAAAGGACATGGCCTGTATACTGAATCTCTTCTACTTTAACTGTGTATGATTCTGCGATAAAAATAAGCTTTCCTTAACAACCTTTGCTTTCTTATCAGAAAAAAAAACCTACTAGATTAGGAAAGTTAGATAACTTGTTGTATTTCTTCCCATTCAATAAGGCTCTTGCAGTAAGTATTCAGTACTTATTATATGCTTATAGAATACTGTTAATGCCCCCAGTGTTGTATTTTAATAATAATCCTTGGCCAGTGCAGTGGCTCACGCCTGTACTCAGGGCTTTGGGAGGCTGAGGTGGTTGGATCATGAGGTCAGGAGTTCAAGACCAGCCTGTTCAAGATGGTGAAAGCCCATCTCTACTAAAAATATGAAAAACAAACAAACCAACCAAAGCTGGGTGTGATAGTGGGCACCTGTAATCCCACCTATTTTGGAAGCTGAGACAGAGAATTGCTTGAACGGGGAGGCGGAGGTTACAGTGAGCTGAGATCACGCTACTACACTCCAGACTGGTAACAGAGTGAGACTCTGTCTTTAAAAATCGTCAAAGACAAGGGTAAAACAAAAATGACGAGTAATTGCATCATCATAAGGAGAAGAGCTGTTTTTAGTATGTGGGGTATATGTAAGGTAGCTCCAAGCAGTTGCAGCTAACATGAATGTTCTGGTTGGTGTTGGCTAATATTTCTAATTGTAAATGAATAAACTGGATAAAATGCGTTCCAGCATTCAACTCATATGTCCTTAAGTGAATGAGGGTTTCTCAGGCCTGAATGGGACCTGGAACATAGTCACCCAATGTGGTCAGGAGCTTTTGAGGTTGTGCTCATCTCCTGCTGATAACCCCTGGTATTGGTATATCTTCTGTTTCCTTTTTTTTTGAGATGGAGTTTCGCTCTTGTTACCCAGGCTGGAGTGCAATGGCGCAATCTCGGCTCACTGCAACCTCTGCCTCCTGGGTTCAGGCAATTCTCCTGCCTCAGCCTCCTGAATACCTGGGACTACAGGCACGCGCCACCATGCCCAGCTAATTTTTTGTATTTTTCATAGAGATGGGGTTTCACCATGTTGACCAGGATGGTCTCAATCTCTTGATCTTGTGATCCACCCGCCTTGGCCTCCCAAAGAGCTGGGATTACAGGTGTGAGCCACCGCGCCTGGCTCTTCTGTTTCCTAATGTACTGGTTTGAATAAGACATAGTGTCTGGAAGAGAAGGATGAGTTGTATCTCTGTTAACTGGAACTGTTGTTAAGAAAGTTCTTTTTTTCATTTGTACTTTTTTTATGGAGCACATGTGACGTTTTGTGACATGTATAGAATGTATAATAATCAGGTCAGGGTATTTGGGGTATCCATTACCTCGAGAATCGTTTCTATGTGTTGGGAACATTTTCAGTCCTGTCTTCTAGCTATTTTGAAATATACAATATATTGCTGTTTACCATAATTACCCTACTCTACTATTGAACATTAGTATATCTTCCTTCTATCTAACTATGTTTGTATCCATTGACCGATCTCTCTTGGTAAGAAAGTTCTAATTGCATAAAATAGGATTTTAAAATAACCACATGGTTGTGACGTTTTGACTGGGCGCAGTGGGTCACACCTGTAATCCCAGTACTTCGGGAGGCCAAGGTGGGCAAATCACTTGAAGTCAGAAGTTAAAGACCAGCCTGGCCAACGTGGTAAAACCCCATCTCTACCAAAAATACAAAAATTAGCCATGTGTGGTGGCATGTGCAGGTAATCGCAGCTACTCGGGAGACTGAAGTGGGAGAATGGCTTGAATCCAGGAGGCAGAGGTTGCAGTGAACCAAGATCATGCCACTGCATTCCAGCCTGGGTGATGGAGAGAGGCTCCATTTCAAAGAAACAAAACAAAACAAAAAGCAAACCACGTGGTTGTGAAGTTTCTATCTGAACCCCCATTTTATAGTTCCTACCACCTTCCCACATCCCTACCTTACTGCTCTCCAGAGCATGTTTCACCATCCCCTATCTACCTACAGAACATCTTCAGAAAATTGCAATAGAAGTAAGCAAGGAGAGGGGAATATATGGACTGTTCTTTGTGTTAATATTTGGAAAGGTGAATAAAATGAGCTTCATAATAACTGAGCTGTGCCTTGAAAGTATACCTAATAAATGTGCAGCTAACCCCTTTGTTGGCAATCAGAGAGCAGAGGCAGTGCCCGCATGTCAGACATCAAATGCAGAAGACAGGCATTGGACTCATTCTGGGCATAGTGCAAGGTGAGGGCCCGTGGTTTATTTCTGTTGCCTCTCAGTTTTTAGACAGGAGAGGGAAGACCGATATCCCCGTGGCACAGGTTAACTGTCCTACCAGGGCCTGGAAAGTTCCTTTTCTCTGCTCAACACACTCTGTGCTCATAGATTGAATCCTGGGAAATTGATTCCATCTCTTCCCCAGCGACTTGATGATAACAGTCTTTTCATCTGAGCATTGGGTGAGTGATCGCAATGACCCAGTTTGTTGTAATATCATCGCATTACTGTATTGTGTGTTTTTATACTGCCTCAGGATATGGTAATGACTTTATTTGAACACAAGGGCTATTTTCTGAAATCTCTGCTGTGTGATTTGAGAATATTACCATGCTGTGTGTGGACTTGCCTCAAATACTGCAGTTAAAAAAAAAAAAAAAACCAAAAAGCTTCCACTAAAATGTAATAACTCCAAAGTGGAATGATACTTTCTGAACCCGCTTCCTTTTCACTTCTGATCTTGGTGCCTTTTACTTATTAATGTGTACCTGTAAGAATTGCTCAGAGGCACTGAAAATGTAAAATGTATGGAAAGCCAACTTGTACTGAATGCAATCTCCTTTGGCGGATATGGGTCAAATGAATCCTCTTAACCTCATTTGGTCAGATTGAAAAGTCCCTCCTGTCTCCTAGTCTATATCTTAGTGGTTTGAATGGCTTATGTGGCTAAAATACACTGACTGAGATTATCTTGACACAATTTCCCGAGTCCTCAGTATATTGGCAAAGACGGTAACGATTTAAAACCCGGCAACTGCTGCATGATTAGCAATTCTTATTCTGGACCTCTTCTTCTAAGGTATCCTTTCTCTTTGTGGCCAGGCGCAGACTAGCAATTGGGCATCTGGCTTCTTAGTTGGAGGATTTGGGTTTTAGGTTTAAATTGTTTATTGGTAACCTCTGGGTTGGTTTTAACAGAGCAATTACGCTCCCCCAGGATCTCAGTCAATGGTAGTAGTTACACATCTTTCTTTCTTCCTTCCCCCTGTATCTCCCTGGCACTCTATGTAGTCGGAGTAAAAGCATATTATAAGGACCTTTGGGAGAAACAAAAAGCGAGGAAGTTTTTTTACTGCATCAGGCAAATAGCACACCAAAATATGCAAAAGGTTTCAAATAAGATTTGGGGTTCAGGTTCTGAAGCCATGGAACAGGTGCAATTTATGTGAACAGAACATTTGTGGCTTCAGTCCAGTGGCATATTCTGTCCTGGGGGCATGAGGATTACTTCTGGACTTCTGATTATTTTAGGTATTTCAATTCCTCATTTCTCTTGCCTTATATTTCCTGGTTCCTGAAGTTGAAGATTCTTTTGGATGGTCTGATTCTTTGGGTCCTGCTAGGTAAAACGTGGGAACTTGTGATGTCAGGTGAGATTTTCCCAGAGGGAAGTGTAACTTTTCAGAGCAACTTGCTGTGGATAGACCATGTGTCACAGGAGTAGAGCCTGTGTCTAGGTGCATTTCAGTGAGGGAAGAGAAAGAGGTTGCATTGGGGTGTTGGGAGTATGGTGGGCAGGTATATTGGAATTTGGGGAAGAAAGGTGGGATTTATATTCTTATATAGTGAAAGTTAAAAGTGGAAATTATCATCTCGGGTGACTGTTCCTGCTCTAAATAGTCCCATTGGTATTTGGGCTGATGGAGACCAGAGCAGACTTCCAAACCTGTACCCCAAGGCTGTGTTACTCCTTTGCTCATTCACTTGTTCGCGCATGTGTTGATCCATTCCATCCATTCAATTAATCCATTTATTCCAGGCTTTCACCTTGGCACTTCTGAAACAGAGAAAAATGCCACAGTTTCCCCCCGGCCCCACCCTTGTATTTAGTAGAAGAGGCAGAGGGCACAGATGCGTTGGTGATCACAGCGTGGTGTGGTGTTGTATTCAAGGAAAGCACGGTGCCGCATGAGGACACAGAAGGGTGGCGTCCCACACAGCCGTGGAAGTGAGGCCTTCACTGAGTCTTGGTGGATGAGGAAAGGTAGCCTGGGAAAGAAGGAAGAGAAGGGCCTTCTGGGCCGTGGGGCTGTGACCTATGGCCAGGTCAAAGATGCTTTTTCAAAACCCTTTTTTTTTTCTCCATCTTCTGACAGGAGGAGGCCTGGTGTTGCCTGGGGTAGTGTTCACTGAACTCATCTCACAACTTGGAGTCTTTTTTTTTTTGCTCTGGGTGATGATTTAATTCCCTGGAAAATACATGCGGCCGACTGCTCAGTTGATTTCAGGGAAGACTAGATGTGTGTTCTGTATGGATAGCGGCTTCTCTAGGGATTCTGCTTTTCTCTTGAAAGAACTCATAACAATGTTTATAATGAAATCATTGTGGTTACAAAGAATCCCTACTAGCTGATAAAAGCTTGAATAGTCTTTGGGATTTCCTTCTAGGATTTGTATTCAACCCAGAGAACTGAGGTCAGAAGATGACAGTTTACAATGGTTGTCGAAAGGGAATTGTTAAACAGATGTTCTAGCAAAATGGAGTCATACTCGACAGCCTGGTGCTGTTCTTTGAAGCGAAGGCCCAGCTCTGATCCTTGCAGACTGCAAGACTGCACCAAAGAGATTCCCAGCCTCCAGTGTCCTACCGTTTCTCTCTCTCCCAAAGCAGACCCTTCTTCCTTCTGCTCAGCCCCAGCTGGCTTTCTCCACATGCCAGAGAGGGTTAGACGTGTTCCTACACCGCAAACAACAGATGCTCTTTCTGAACGCTGGAAAAACTGCCAAAGGTAAAAGAAGCCTTTTGCAATATCACACCAAGGTATCTGAGTGCGTTTTTCTTCCTTTCTGTGAAACACAAAAAAGAAAAATAGATGCCCGAGGGTTAAACAGTGCCAACTCTCAGCAAGCCCAGGATCTCAGCTATTATTTCTTCTAAACCCGAAACGTGTTTTCACAAGGGTTAGTAATAAACACCAAGTGACAAGAGGGGGAAGTTGGGTGACAAGTGCCCCAGTTGGGGCCTGCTCTGGAAGTTCAGAAGTTCTGATTTTCAGACAGAAATGGTTACTTCCTCAGCTGTCCAATATATGTTTAGCCATGAGGAAATGATCCAAATCAGAGAAACGTTTTTAATGAGGTGGGGTTGCTTTATTAAAAGAAACCTTTTTTATAGCTATGCCCTGGTTGTGGTTTTAACAAGAGAATTAAATGAACAGACGAGGGAGCGTTAAGTCCATATGGAGACTGGACCCATGACCTTGATCCTATTTTTACCAAATTCATGCAACGTAAATGGTTTGTGGTGGGAATGGTAAAGCAGGAACATTAGCAGGAGGTATACTCAGTGGTATCAAACAGAACTGGATTTCAGATCTGTGTCTTCCACTTACGGCCTGTGTGGTTTAGGCAAGTTACTTAACCTCTCTGATTGTTCATTTTCTCTTATATAAAATGGAGATAATTTCAGGATGAATATTAAAGACCAATATTAAGATAAAAAGAAGGAATGCATAAAAGTGTCTAGTATGATGCCTGATAGTCAACAGAGAACACGTGAAATAATAGAAAAGATGAGCCAAGGTAAGACTTGTGGGTAAGATGACCTCAGGCACAGGCGAACATCTTCACTTACACCTAGGATGATGGAAAACTTTGTAGGACCATCCAGTTGAACCCCCTTACTTCAAAGTCAAGAACAATAGATTAAAAACAACACCAGTAAGGAACTGGGGTCATAGTAGGGTTCTGTTGCTATCAAATGGTATGACCAGTGACCCAGCGACACAAATGCTGCTCTACATCCATTCCTGTGACCCAGCGACACAAATGCTGCTGTACATCCATTCCTGTGACCCAGCGACACAAATGCTGCTCTACATCCATTCCTGTGACCCAGCGACACAAATGCTGCTCTACATCCATTCCTGTGACCCAGCGACACAAATGCTGCTCTACATCCATTCCTGTGACCCAGTGACACAAATGCTGCTCTACATCCATTCCTGTGACCCAGTGACACAAATGCTGCTCTACATCCATTCCTGTGACCCAGTGACACAAATGCTGCTCTACATCCATTCCTGTGACCCAGCGACACAAATGCTGCTGTACATCCATTCCTGTGACCCAGCGACACAAATGCTGCTCTACATCCATTCCTGTGACCCAGCGACACAAATGCTGCTGTACATCCATTCCTGTGACCCAGCGACACAAATGCTGCTCTACATCCATTCCTGTGACCCAGCGACACAAATGCTGCTCTACATCCATTCCTGTGACCCAGCGACACAAATGCTGCTCTACATCCATTCCTGTGACCCAGTGACACAAATGCTGCTCTACATCCATTCCTGTGACCCAGTGACACAAATGCTGCTCTACATCCATTCCTGTGACCCAGCGACACAAATGCTGCTCTACATCCATTCCTGTGACCCAGCGACACAAATGCTGCTGTACATCCATTCCTGTGACCCAGCGACACAAATGCTGCTCTACATCCATTCCTGTGACCCAGCGACACAAATGCTGCTGTACATCCATTCCTGTGACCCAGCGACACAAATGCTGCTCTACATCCATTCCTGTGACCCAGTGACACAAATGCTGCTCTACATCCATTCCTGTGACCCAGTGACACAAATGCTGCTCTACATCCATTCCTGTGACCCAGTGACACAAATGCTGCTCTACATCCATTCCTGTGACCCAGCGACACAAATGCTGCTCTACATCCATTCCTGTGACCCAGCGACACAAACGCTGCTCTACATCCATTCCTGTGACCCAGCGACACAAACGCTGCTCTACATCCATTCCTGTGACCCAGCGACACAAACGCTGCTCTACATCCATTCCTGTGACCCAGCGACACAAACGCTGCTCTACATCCATTCCTGTGACCCAGGGACACAAACGCTGCTCTACATCTATTCCTGTGACCCAGGGACACAAATGCTGCTCTACATCCATTCCTGTGACCCAGCGACACAAACGCTGCTCTACATCCATTCCTGTGACCCAGGGACACAAATGCTGCTCTACATCCATTCCTGTGACCCAGCGACACAAACGCTGCTCTACATCCATTCCTGTGACCCAGGGACACAAATGCTGCTCTACATCCATTCCTGTGACCCAGCGACACAAACGCTGCTCTACATCCATTCCTGTGACCCAGGGACACAAATGCTGCTCTACATCCATTCCTGTGACCCAGCGACACAAACGCTGCTCTACATCCATTCCTGTGACCCAGGGACACAAATGCTGCTCTACATCTATTCCTGTGACCCAGGGACACAAATGCTGCTCTACATCCATTCCTGTGACCCAGCGACACAAACGCTGCTCTACATCCATTCCTGTGACCCAGGGACACAAATGCTGCTCTACATCCATTCCTGTGACCCAGCGACACAAACGCTGCTCTACATCCATTCCTGTGACCCAGCGACACAAACGCTGCTCTACATCCATTCCTGTGACCCAGCGACACAAACGCTGCTCTACATCCATTCCTGTGACCCAGGGACACAAATGCTGCTCTACATCTATTCCTGTGACCCAGGGACACAAATGCTGCTCTACATCCATTCCTGTGACCCAGCGACACAAATGCTGCTGTACATCCATTCCTGTGACCCAGTGACACAAATGCTGCTCTACATCCATTCCTGTGACCCAGCGACACAAATGCTGCTCTACATCCATTCCTGTGACCCAGCGACACAAATGCTGCTGTACATCCATTCCTGTGACCCAGTGACACAAATGCTGCTCTACATCCATTCCTGTGACCCAGCGACACAAATGCTGCTCTACATCCATTCCTGTGACCCAGCGACACAAACGCTGCTCTACATCCATTCCTGTGACCCAGCGACACAAACGCTGCTCTACATCCATACCTGTGACCCAGCGACACAAACGCTGCTCTACATCCATTCCTGTGACCCAGCGACACAAACGCTGCTCTACATCCATACCTGTGACCCAGCGACACAAACGCTGCTCTACATCCATTCCTGTGACCCAGCGACACAAACGCTGCTCTACATCCATTCCTGTGACCCAGCGACACAAACGCTGCTCTACATCCATTCCTGTGACCCAGCGACACAAATGCTGCTGTACATCCATTCCTGTGACCCAGTGACACAAATGCTGCTCTACATCCATTCCTGTGACCCAGGGACACAAATGCTGCTCTACATCCATTCCTGTGACCCAGCGACACAAACGCTGCTCTACATCCATTCCTGTGACCCAGCAACACAAACGCTGCTCTACATCCATTCCTGTGACCCAGCGACACAAACGCTGCTCTACATCCATTCCTGTGACCCAGGGACACAAATGCTGCTCTACATCTATTCCTGTGACCCAGGGACACAAATGCTGCTCTACATCCATTCCTGTGACCCAGCGACACAAATGCTGCTGTACATCCATTCCTGTGACCCAGTGACACAAATGCTGCTCTACATCCATTCCTGTGACCCAGCGACACAAATGCTGCTCTACATCCATTCCTGTGACCCAGCGACACAAATGCTGCTGTACATCCATTCCTGTGACCCAGTGACACAAATGCTGCTCTACATCCATTCCTGTGACCCAGCGACACAAATGCTGCTCTACATCCATTCCTGTGACCCAGCGACACAAACGCTGCTCTACATCCATTCCTGTGACCCAGGGACACAAATGCTGCTCTACATCCATTCCTGTGACCCAGCGACACAAATGCTGCTCTACATCCATTCCTGTGACCCAGGGACACAAATGCTGCTCTACATCTATTCCTGTGACCCAGGGACATAAACGCTGCTCTACGTCCATTCCTGTGACCCAGCGACACAAATGCTGCTCTACATCCATTCTTTTTTTCCCTGTTTAGGTCCTGAGCTTGAAGCCTAATGAGTACTGCCTTCCTTCAGAACTTGGGGTATGAAATCTTAGAGGTATGTAGGAAGCAGAGAAGTAGAACTAGCTAGTTTGTAGAAGGGGCCCTAGACTCAACTGCATCTACCCTGTAGAGAGGAGGCAGAGCCAGCTCTCTCGGCAGTGCATTCGCCCACCAACATGCATACCAGGGAAGAGAGGTCACAGATCACAGAGTGATTCCCACCCATTAGGAAGCCGTGACTCAGTATACCCCCTGTGGTAACTTCATCACTGGGAAACAGGGTAAGGGGAGGGGACTGAGAATTTCTCCTCTCTACAGTAAGAATGGTAATAACATTTACTGAATCCCACCCACAGCCAGGTCTGTCTGGCTCCTAATCTCATGCTCTTAACTTCCCTGATAGGAGGCACGGAAAAGGAAAGGTAGTTCAACTTCTCAGATCTAAAAGACAAGAACATGAATCCTTCTTTTTGAAAATTATTTTAGAGATAGCATATACCAGTGCCTTATTTTCTCCATATTTTTTAAGCTTATAGAGTGTCCTTAATCATACCACACTTAACCTTGAGTGTTCTTGTTCCTGCTCAAGACTTTTAAACTTTATCCAGCTTGATAGATAAGTTACTTTATTTTCATCTTGGAAATCCATACTGTGAAATTTGCATCAGTTATCTTTTTCGTTATTAAAAATGGGCTTATATTGCAAGGTAAGCATTCTCAATGTACAGAATTAATTTCATTTACATGTTAATAGAGTTAGGTCTGGGTGATGTGATAAAATCTTTTTAAGCAAACACAGGCACCCTGTTAGAATGCACCAGGGTGTCTAGTAAAACAGAATAAATCTAGCTATTTCATTAGATGCTTCTAATTTTAGACTCTCAATTCTAGAAAATGTTGCCATCCATATCCTGTCTGAGGAGACAAGGGATAAAGAAGCTAGCTCCAACACAGTGAATACATCTCTTCAACTGGGACCTCTGATTCCTTTCTGCATACCTTTAGAAGAAGCCTGATGGGGGCCGGGCGCGGTGGCTCAAGCCTGTAATCCCAGCACTTTGGGAGGTCGAGGCGGGTGGATCACGAGGTCAAGAGATCGAGACTATCCTGGCCAACATGGTGAAACCCAGTCTCTACTAAAAATACAAAAAATTAGCTGGGCATGGTGGCACGTGTCTGTAATCCCAGCTACTCAGGAGGCTGAGGCAGGAGAATTGCCTGAACCCAGGAGGCGGAGGTTGTGGTGAGCCAAGATTGCGCCATTGCACTCCAGCCTGGGTAACAAGAGTGAAACTCCGTCTCAAAAAAAAAAACAAAAAACAAACAAACAAAAAAGAAGCCTGATGACCTGTTGGAAAGGTTTTATAAACAGGAAAGCCTTACCCTAATATTATTATTTCATTTATAATTCAGTTCTATTTAGAGTATGGTTATTAACTGTTTTTATGTGCCTGGCATATTCTGGCTATTTTGAAGAGTTAAAAAAAATTACAGGACTTGATTTTTTCTCTCAAAGATGCCATAATTTACTGGAGATATCAGGGATTCATGAAAGAAATTAAGCTAGAAAATTAATGTGCTTAATTAAATGTAGAAAATTTAAAAACGTGTTTTGGGAAATGCTCATCGTCACTGGTCATCAGAGAGATGCAAATTAAAACCACATTGAGATACCATCTCACGCCAGTTAGAATGGCGATCATTAAAAAATCTGGAGACAACAGATGCTGGAGAGGATGTGGAGAAAAAGGAACACTTTTACACTGTTGGTGGGAGTGTAAATTAGTCCAACCATTGTGGAAGACGGTGTGGCGATTCCTCAAGGCCTTAGAAATAGAAATCCCATTTGACCAGCAATCCCATTACTGGTATATAGCCAAAGGACTATAAATCGTTCTACTACAAGGACACATGCACATGAATGTTCATTGCAGCACTGTTTACAATAGCAAAGACCTGGAACCAACCCAAATGCCCATTGATGATAGACTGGATTGGGAAAATGTGGCACATATACACCATGGAATATTATGCAGCAATCAGAAATGATGAGTTCGTGTCGTTTGTAGGGACATGGATGAATCTGGAGAACATCATTCTCAGCAAACTGACACAAGAACAGAAAATGAAACACCGCATATTCTCACTCATAGGTGGGTGATGAAAAATGAGAACACATGGACACAGAAAGGGGAGTACTAAACACTGGGGTCTATTGGGGGGAAAAGGGGAGGGCCAGTGGGAGGGGGAGGAGAGGGGAGGGATTGCCAGGGGAGAAATGCCAAATGTGGGTGAAGGGGAGAAAGCAAACAAAACACACTGCGCTGTGTGTACCTATGCAACTGTATTGCATGCTCTGCATATGTACCCCAAAACCTAAAATGCAATTAAAAAAAAAAACAAAACGTGTTTTGGAGAATACACATCAGGGATGTAGTTCACAGCCACAGTATTATACAGCTGTGTCACCATAAGTTGTGAGATTTGTTGCAAGTAATTTTTTAGTAATAATAATTGAAGACCTAAAATTTGTGAATTATTTGTTTTTCCTATGAATTAGAATGAAGTCAATGTAATTCCTAAAGGTATTACTTGTCTTCATGCTGAAATGCCTTCTTGGAGGAGCGAAAATCAGAGGTTGGATCTCACAAGCAGGAATTACAGAGTGGTTTCTTGGTTAGGAGCTTGAGCCGCAGAGTCAGATATCCTGAGCTTAAATTTCAGTTCCCTCACTTTAACCTAATATTTTCTGAGGTTTGTCATGAAGATTCAAACCCTTCCCAGGTTTGTAATGAAGATTTGAGGACACAAACCTTTGCAGTCATGAATACGTTGCTATGTAGCAACCATCAGATAAATGTCAGCCAGTGTCGTGACTAATTACATACAACACAATATACATGGCTATCGTTTCAGAGACCAGAAAGGGGAGCAAGCAGTGTTATCTAGGGTTAGGAAGGAAGGCCTGAGAGCAGGATCCGTGCAGAGAATGGCGCAAGTTTAGGAGTTCAGTGCCGCTTTTGGCTGGGTATGCTCAGCTGCTTATTGTGCTAGCCCCCACTCTGTGCCTGACTTCCTTTTTCTCCACTATTGATGAGCCTACTTAGATTTTCTATTAGTTATTCTTAAGGTTTGGCTTGATCCGTATGTGATCAGATTGTGAAAACCTTAACTCTCAGTTCATGCTACTGATGCAGGACAGATAAATCCTAACAACTGGGGGCTTAACCTGAGAGGGCTCTTGGCTTTATCCAGGAAAGAATTCAAAGGCAAGCTGTTGCTGTTAGACACAATACGTTCTGTTGAAAAGTACTGCTTCTTGCAGAGCAAGATTAACTCATAGGTATATGTGCCCAGAGTAGGCAGCTCTTGGCAACTTATTTATACTCAGGAACCCACTTTTGATTACATGTAAATTAAGGGGTGGGTCAATGGAAATTGAGGGGTGGGCTGTTTAGAACTTTACGGGAAAGGAACAGTAACTTCCAGGTTGTTGCCATGAAAAGGGGTGGCAACTTCTGGGTCATTGCCATGGCATTTGTATAGTGTCATGGCACTGGTGGGAGCATATTATGCTAATGAGCGATGAGGACAGCTAGGGATCACTTTCATTGCCATCTGCCGGTTCTTGCTGGTTTCTTTGCTTCATCCTGTCTGGACCAGATCTTGTTTTAGTCAGCAGGGTTGTGACTGGGAAACAAGTTCTGCCAGTCTCCTTCCTCACTACTATCTATCGTTCTATTTCTACATCAATGCAGGCTGGACCTACCAAGTCCAGACCCAAACCCAAATGGGTTCCTTTGTGTCATCCTCCAAATCTTTTATTTGTTTCTGGTCAAACCAACTTCCATTTTCCCCAGCAACTCTTTCAAACCATCACTTCCCTTAAGCCCATGACTTATACTCATTCTTTTTATTTTTAAATAATTTCATTTTAAATATTAAAAAAACACATAAAAACCGGAAAGTAATAATGGACCCCCATAAACTTACATATATATATACTCAATAATTTTGAAGATTTTGTCATCCTTAATCTAATTTTTTATTTAATGAATTATTTTAAAGCAAATCCCAGATAGCTTATTTCACAACTGAATACTTAAAAAAGCATCTCTAAAAATTACATTTTTTTTTTCACTTTAGGTGTATACTGTATCTGGCATTTCTCCCCATGTTATCCCTCCCCACCCTCGCCACTCCCTGGTGTTTCTCCCCTACACCCTGCTGCTGTCTCTCCCCTACCCACTTCACCTGCCCCCAGTGTGTGATGCTCCTCTGAGTCCACGTTTTCTCATTGTTCAGCACCCACCTATGAGTGAGAACATGCGGTATTTGGTTTTCTGTTCTTGTGTTAGTTTGCTGAGAATGATGGTTTTCAGATTTATCCAAGTCACTACAAAGGACACAAACTCATTGTTTTTTTAGGGCTGTGTAGTATTCCATGGTGTATCTCTACCACATTTTCTTTGCCCAGTCTATCATTGATGGGCATTTGGGTTGGTTCCAGGTCTTTCCTATTGTACACAGGGTTGCAATAAACACATGTGTGCATGTGCCTTTATAGTAGAACAGTTTATAGTTCTTTGGGTATATGCCCAGTAATGGGATTGCTGGGTCAATTGGAATTTCTATTTCTAGATCCTTCAGATATCTTCCACAATGGTTGAACTAATTTACACTCCCACCAACTGTGTGAGAGTGTTCATATTTCTCCACATCCTCTCCAGCATCTGTTGTCTCCTGATTTTTTAATGATTGCCATTCTAACTGGTGTGAGATGGTATCTCAATGTGGTTTTGATTTGCATTTCTCTAATGACCAGTGATGATGAGCATTTTTTTCATAGTTTGTTGGCCTCATATATGTCTTCTTCTGAAAAGTGTCTGTTCATGTCCTTCGCCCACTTTTGAATGGGGTAGTTTGTTTTTTTTCTTGTATATCTGTTTTAGTTTTTTGTAGATTCTGGATATTAGCCCTTTGTCAGATGGGTAGATTGCAAAAATTGTTTCCCATTCTGTTGGTTGCTGGTTCACTCTAATGATGGTTTCTTTTGCTGTACAGAAGCTCTGAATTTTAATTAGATCCCATTCGTCTATCTTGGCTTTTATTGCCATTGCTTTTGGTGTTTTAGTCACAAAGTCCTTGCCTATGCCTATGTCCTGGATGGTTTTGCCTACATTTTCTTCTAGTGTTTTTGTGGTGTTAGATTTTATGTTTAAATCTTTAATCCATCTGGAGTTAATTTTAGTGTAAGGTGACAGGTAGGCATCCAGTTTCTGCTTTCTGCACATGGCTAGCCAGTTTTTCCAGCACCATTTATTAAACATGGAGTCTTTTCAGCATTGCTTGTTTTTGTCAGGTTTGTCAAAGATCAGATGGTTGTAGATATATGGTGTTGCTTCTGGGGCTCTGTTCTGTTCCATTGGTCTATATCTCTGTTTTGGTACCAGTATCATGCTGTTTTGATTCCTGTAGCCTTGTAGTATAGCTTGAAGTCCAGCAGTGTGATGCCTCCAGCTTTGTTCTTTTTGCTTAGGATTGTCTTGGCTATGTGGGCTCTCTTGTGATTCCATATGAAGTTTAAAGTGATTTATTCCAGTTATGTGAAGAAGGTCATTGGTAGCTTGATGGGTATAGCATTCAATTTATAAATTACTTTGGGCAGTATGGCCATTTTCACAATATTGAATATTCCTAACCATGAATATGGAATGTTTTTCCATCTGTTTGTGTCCTCTTATTTCATTAAGCAGTAGTTTGTAGTTGTCCTTGAGGAGGTCCTTTACATCTTTTGTTAGTTGTATTCCTAGGTATTTTATTCTCTTTGTAGCATCTGTGAATGAGAGTTCACTCTTGATTTGGCTATTTGTCTGTTATTGGTATATAGGAATGCTGTGATTTCTGCACATTGATTTTGTATCCTGAGACTTTGCTGAAGTTGCTTATCAATTTGAGAAGATTTTGGGCCGAGATGATGGAGTCTTCTATATGTCATCTGCAAGTAGAGATAGTTTGACTTCCTCCTTTCCTAATTGAATACCCTTTATTTCTTTTTCTTGCCTGATTGCTCTGGCTAGAACTTCCAATACCATATTGAATAGAAGTGGTGAGAGAGGGCATCCTCTTCTCATGCCTGATTTCAAAGGGTATTCTTACAGCTTTTTTCCATTCAGTATGATATTGGCTGTAGGTCTGTCATATATAGCTTTTATCATTTTATGATACATTTTATTCATACCTAGTTTATTGAGTTTTTAGCATGAAGCACTGTTGAATTTTGTTGAAAGCCTTCTCTGCATCTATTGAGATAATCTTGTGTTTTTTTTTCTTTGGTTCTGTTTATGTGATGGATTGCATTTATGGATTTGCATGTGTTGAACCAGCCTTGCATCCCTGGGATGAAGCCTACTTGATTATGGTGGATAAGCTTCCTGATGTGCTATTGCAATCTGTTTGCCAGTATTTTATTGAAGATTTTTGTGTCGATGTTCATCACAGATACTGGCCTGAAGTTTTCCTTTTTTGTTGGGTCTCTGCCTGGTTTTGGTATCAGCATGATGTTGGTCTCATAAAATGAGTTAGGGAGAATTCTCCTTTTGTATTGTTTCATACAGTTTCAGAAGGAATGAAACCAGCTCCTCTTTGTACATCTGGTAGAATTTGGCTGTGAACCCATCTGGACCTGGACTTTTTTTGGTTGGTAGGATATTGATTGCTGCCTCTACTTCAGCCCTTGTTATTGGTCTACTCAGGGTTTCAACTTCCTCCTGGTTTAGTTTTGGTAGAGTACAAGTGTCTAGGAATTTATCAGTTTCTTCTAGGTTTACTAGATTATGTGCATAGAGTTGTTTGCAATAATCTCTGATGGTAGTTTGTATTTCTGTGGGATCAGTGGTGATGTCTCCTTTATCATTTTTTATTGTATCTATTTGATTCTTCTCCCTTTTTGTTTTTATTAATCTGGCTAGTGGTCTATTTTGTTGATCTTTTCAAAAAACCAGCTCCTGGATTTATTGATATTTTTTTGAAGAGTTTTTTATGTCTCTATCTTCTTCTGTTCTGCTCTGATCTTAGTTATTTCTTGTTTTCTGCTAGGTTTTGAGTTTCTATTATCTTGCTGCTCTAGCTCTTTCAATTTTGATGACAGGGTATCAATTTTAGATCTTTCCTTGTTTCTCGTGCATTTATTGCTATAAATTTCTCTCTTGACGC